AAAATCTGGGTGCTGTGTACACATTGCTCATGTCCAGGCTGCACTTATACCAGTAATTCTAGATAGGTTTTTGGGGAAAATTAGAAAGAAGAACTGAATCATTTAGGGCTTTGCATACTGGGCATTTGGCTAAAGAAAGATTCCGAGATACCACTTTTACATATCACAGTTGGATTCCTAAAGCTAAGGCTGTGAGCTGTTAACAACAAATTCAATCAAAACCATCTGACAGTCATTTCTAAAGCAGTTTAAAAGATATAAAATGATATCTTTCTCTGCCATCCAGTGAAAGGGTCAAGAAAACTAGTAAAATAAAAATATGAAGGGTAATAGGGAAAATATATTAGTACCTGAAAAAATTTACAGTACAGATTTTTCAGAAATTTTCCTAGAAGAACTTTTCTACAGTAATTACACTCTACTTTGTCTGTTTCTTCCACGTTCTGAATTTTCCTTCCACATTTGCTTGCAAACACCCCTGAAATAAAGTTTCCTATAAAGGAATTAAAGAAAGCCCTTATCTAATATGTTTGGTAGATGCACAGTCCTGATTTCAGGCAACTAGTACTTTTTGTTTGTTCTACCATGACTATGTATTAGTGAGCCATGGGAATTTTATAAAGCAAACTTCTCCTATTACAAGTATTGGTGGAGAATTTCAAACAGAAACAAAAGAATAAAGTACATGGAAGTCATACCAAATGAAATACAGTGTTATCTCATTAAGTAAATCTAAGAAAGTGGATCTCTGAGCTCAGGCCAGATTTTTTGGTAAGGGTCTAAAATAAGGTCCCTTAACTCCCGGAATTCAAGGTTTGATTTAACATGCAATGACTCTAAACCATGCTGTTTTGTACATGTATTTAGGGAACTCACTGCTTTAAATACCTCTTGGATGGGAAGTCATCTGAATCCAGTTACCTTCACTGATACATCTCTGACTGAAAAAGCCTCAACATGACCTTGCAAATTTAATTCTTCAGTAGGAAAATGATGAGAAATTAAACCTTCCATTTTGCTCTGACTTTATTCTTCATCCTCACATTACTGCTTGTCATTCAGATCCTTTTTCCTTCCCTCCACAACCCTTTCTGTTTTGTTTTAAAACAGAAATCATGATACAGAGAGGGAATTATTGTAGTTTTCCCAGATGGGGACAACCACAAGTGCCTATCAATTTCCCAACACTGCTGTGCTCCTTATATATATGGTTTTTTCCTTACCCATCATTGACCTGACCATGTCCTTTTGCAGTTACTTAATAACTGTGAAGTCTTTGCTGATAGCATGCTGTTCACAAAATAGGTTTCTCAACCTTAAATATACAATAGAAATACCCTTTGTTTACTTTACACTAGTCATACCAGTGAATGCAATTCATATTTGCATCTAAATTCCTATGCAGATGCAAAGTTTAGTTAGCCTCTAGCAATGTACACTAGGAATGGGACCAGTGATTATGCACAATTATACCACTGTTAATAACCATAACTAGGAAATGAGTGAACCTGTTCTATTTACTATAAATCACACTGGTTCCTCTCTCACCTTCTTCTCTTCCCTGTCAAAAATCCCTGTATAATGCAGTTTACATCTGCATGACTGCAACATGGAATCAAACTGGTAAGTAATTCTTCCATCTTATGATAACTATATACTTTCTTAAATAATTATCACCCAGTGAAATAAAGGGACATTACTGTATTTCCTGAAGTTCACTGTGGGGTCTGATCTAAATTAATTTAAATTAATAATCATAATCTGAGGATACCTATCATCTTGGTAACTTCAAACAAAAAATTGCTCCATCTAGACTTCTGCCATAGGCTTCCCAGAAATCTGTAGAGAATTAAGACAATCTTTTTCCTATTTAAAATCAACCTTTGGGACTAAGCTGTGTCCATTTTTCTTTGGTCTTTACCAATACAGTACAGACTGGACACTTTATCAAAATTACAACCAGCTTTCTTGCATCCATCAACTGCCATATCAAAGGAAGAAATGCCCTGCCTTTTCAAAGCTCTTGCTTATTTCTTCAGTCTTTGCCAGCAGTTTGCTAACATGAACATGGCAGATCAGATTAGTAGTAACAATAGCCAGAATGAGGAGGAAGGTGGAGAATGAAGCTGTAGTTCCTCTCACAGGTAAGACACAGTACCTGGAATCTGTCCATGTGAGTCACTGCACTCAATGCCCACTGATATTGCTGTGGGAACTCTGTAGTTCTTCTATCCCTGGCCCTGACTCCTGTTTTTTCCAGGTTTTATTTCTTACAGTGCAGCTCTTTAACTTCATTCTCACCAGTGCTGAGGTAGAGCTCAGGTGTATAAAGCCCTACTCACAAGCCATACTGGGTTTCCTCAGACTAATACACAGGATGTACAGAGAAGGGCTCCAAAAATGTTCAGGTCAGAGCAGTGCCCGAGGACACCATGTCCTCACCTCCTTCAGAAGGAGGAAACTTGAATGTGCTCATGGATACCATGGTATGTTGTAGTGA